AACAAGTACATCACCTGGGTTTGAATTTGCACTGTTGTTTGACACTTTTTTGCAGTAACACTCGTAGAGAAACTTCTAATTTGTTTTCAATATTTATTGTTGCATCATTGATCTGTTTATTGACAGTTGGCATTAAATATATTTTGGCTAAGCCCAAAGGAAATCCTAATGTGGGCCAAGTATTAAAGATAAGGTATATTTGAGAATTTCTGGCAATGGTGGCATCAGAAATTTATTTTGAAATACCCATGCCAGTTACTGAAGATAGAAGACTGAGTGGTCTTTTTTTTGTTTCCTGTGTGAAAAAGGTTAGAGTGAAAAAAAAAAAAGTAAACAATAATCCCTTAGGTTTAGTTGTAGAGTGTGTATTTCAGCCTGGTACCAATGATTGTGAGGTTCTATGCCTAAACTAGAACTAGCTAGTTGAATCTTTGCAGGCATTCCCTAAATCATTTTTTTCTCTTCTAGTTGCATTTTCTTGTGTGTTTCTGAATCAAGAACCTTCCCCTGCACCATCTTAAGTTCTCTTTCTGGACATCTTTCTATTAAACCTTCCATTTATCTTATGCTTCCACCAAAGTATGAATAGCACTCCATAAATACCTGTCTCCTTCCCACCTCCTGAATCCTGGGTACAGCTTTCTAGTCTGTCTTCCTTGGATATCAAATTAGACTATTTAATTAGCCCAGTTCTTTACACTCAGAACTCCTTCTGTTTGCATAATAGCTGTAGGGTTGGGAAGTAGGAGGTATGCAGGGCAGATTGGCGCTCAAGTCACAGTTAGGTTGATGCCTACATCAAGCTAGAAAGTGGGTTGCATTTCTGTAAGGAATAACCAAATGGTGCCTTTGGATGGACACTTGGGTCAGGGTACTGGAAAAATATGTGTCCAGAAATGGAAGAATGAAGAGGATGTCCAGAATGCCCAGGATGAAGATGAAGAGTTAGGATGATATAGAGAAAGGATGAAGTTGAACTTGAAGTGAGGGAGAAGAGGTCGGCTACAAACCGAAGAAGCTGCACAGTGACTGCCATTGTGTTCCGAATTCAAAACCAGAAACATCTGTAATGATGTAACTGACTTGACTTTCTTTAGAGGAATTTTAAAAGAAGATTTTAAGAAAGACTCATGGAAGCTCAAAATCAGAATTAACTATAACTTGACTGTCAAGGAAGCCAAGTTAATGAGTGTTATTCTCTTATATCTCAGGCCTGGACAGCCCAAACCTGACTAATCCAGAGCTAGGCTTTGACCAAAAACAGTGTTCCTCCCACTGGGTACCTCGCAACAAGGCTCCATTCAAATCAAGACCAATCTCTTCCTGTCATTTCAAGGCACTTGTTTTTTTGGCAGAGGGTCAGTAATGTCATGTCTTCTTAGAAAATGCATCACTTTATTAGAGGTTTTGCTTTGAGCTGGTGTGTTCCCTTCATAGGATTTGATTTATAAATGCTGAATGCTTAAAAATGTTTTACTTCTGCTGTTTTAGATGACACTTTTAAGGATAGACACCACAATAAAAGCTAATGTGGTTTCCACTGTCAATAAAAAAGGAATTTGCATGAAGTGCTGCTTTTTCATAAGTAGCACTTGCGTACAGCATCGCTAAGCAACACACGTATCAGCTTTGACACCTTATTCATCTTTAATATTCAAGTTCAGATCAAGTCTTCTCAGTGATGGGACAGATTGAATCTTTTAAACCGAGCAAGTGAAAGGTGTCATTTTGTAATTTACGTCTCTAGGTTGGCAGCGGTGTCAGTTTTCATTTTATAACATTTTGGAATTGGGATTTTTTAAAATTTAACCTCTTAGGTTCTCTAACTTCTTGGCCTCTGTTTCCATTTTGTGTTTTTTTTTATTCCTAAAGACCCTCACAGGATCTTCCCTGCAACTTTGAGATCAGATTTAAATTCCTTGATATGCAGGGCCCATCGTGAGCTGGTTCCTGCCTGCTTCTCCTTTCGTATCCTCTGCTTCCGTCAAATCTAACAGCCCAAGTTTCCCAAATAGGTTGTATTCTTAATATCACTTTTTCTTCAGCCATCCCAGTTTTTAAAACATACTGTGTTCTTTGATATCACTGTTTCTTCAAGCCTATGTTGTTTCTTCCCTTTGGGAATACCCTTTACTGGCTAAGTCCTGCTTGTCTTTTTGATGCTTCCGAATTCTTAAGGAACTTTCTCTTTGATTCTTTCAGACTGATTTAAGAGCCCTTCTCCTAGGATCCTAAGCAAACCTTGGTCATAGGGCTTTAATATTAGATTTCAGTGGGTTAGTTTTCTTATACTAAACTGGGAACTTCTTGAGGCACAGGAATTCTGTCTTTTATTTGTATATCCTTATCCTTTCTGTGTGTTTCATTTATCTGAATGTTCCCCTATCTGTGACAGAGCTAAGTCTTCTCTCCTTGTGAAATCTTAGTTGTTTATAACAGGGAGTTTTGACCAGAGGTTCAAGGCCCTCCTGTACGAATCTAACAGTTGTGTTTTAAATTGCTCATACGGGATCAAGACTATATGTTTGTTCACTACTATCAGAAGGATACAAGATTCAAGCATCAGCTAAAGTTACACTAAATGTAGTATTAAGTGGAAAAAATCTGGAGGAAAGAAAAATGGAAGCAAGAATTTTTGAAGATGCTAGGTATCAGGGAGTCTTCCACGGTTTTATGAAGATTTCCACAAAGGAAGAAAAGTTAAAGAGTTTTGAATACATCTCTTTATAGCTGGTATAGAAAAATAAAATGTGACTCAGTGATTATGCCAGCCTCATCTGTTTGTATATCCTAAGCTCAGAAAATGCTCCTCAGTGGTTTGCTTCCAAAAAGTACCTCCTGACATGATAGGAGGCAGATACTGCCCGCTCCCTAATGAATTAATGTGTGTAGATTTCTGGAATTTTTTATTTTATACATATATTTAAAAATTCAGCAAGGCTTTGCTTTAAAATTTAATCTGTTTAGAAACATGCTGGAAGTTTCTTAAAATAAGTTGAATTAGTTTCAATTTTAGAACTAAGTTAGAAATGATTTGGTTAGTCTTATACGGGGAAAACGTATTTTATATCTGGAGCCTCTATAGTGGTTGTCTAGAAATTTGGATTTAAAGGTATTTCTTTTTCCCTTTCATTTGATTTGGAAAATACTGATAAATGAGCAAAAAGTAAAAGAAAAAAACCATCTTAAACATTAGGATATTATGTTTAAAGAAAGAAATCCCCTCAACCATCCACTTGTACCTTCATGCTATTAACATTTTGGCACTTATACTACTTTCCAAAGGTGCTCTACAAATACTGTTATAAAACAGTGTGGTGAGGTGCCCTCCAGTATCTTTTATGATACCAACTTTAAAGGTTCCTTTCCATACTGCCTCTAGTATTCTGCTTTTATTTACTTATTTCCTGTTTTTTATAAAAGCAAACAAGGCATATTGTTTTTAAGCCACACAGTGTAGACATACAGTAGAAAGTGAGTTTCCTTTCATTCTTGGGGGTGACTAGTTAATATTTTGGTATATATATATATGTTCTCCTAGAAAGATGATCTTTTTGTTAAATTATAACATTTTTCCTTTTTTATTTCTTTTTCTTTTTTTGCAAAAATGGTGTCACACTTTCTTCACTCTGTCACTCGTTTTCATTCACTAATGCTTTATTTCATGTCACTTCTCATTGTCGTCACATGTAGGTTCATCCCAGGCTTTTTATAGGCTATATAACATTTAGCAGAACGGATCTACTGTAATTTAATTAACTGGTTGCCCAGGAGGATGTTTCCAATATTTTACTATTATAAATAATGCTGTAAGAAGCATTTTTATACTTTGTACACAAGTTGTGTCTGTGTAAGACGTGGATTTGCTTGGTTAGAAGCATTGCACGTATACAATTTTGCTGTAATTTAAAGGTTCATCTTTTTTCAACAGTATTTACCCATAAGCAATAAAGCTTTGATTTGAGAGTAAACTTTGTTTAAAAAGAAAGATGGTTTCCTGAGGGCCCAAAAAGACCATACAAACAAAACAGGATTTTTATTGTTTTTCTTCTTGTGTTTTAACTTGAATTTTGTATGATATCTAGAACTTTTGAGAGAAAGTATCACTCAGTCTTTCTGTTGCCTTTAAAAATAAATCTGTTCCTTTTGATTACATCTCCTTGATAAGGCTATTATATTATTTGGATATTGGTGTTCCTTATGATGAACAGTAACATTTTTAGTTTAATTCTGTTCTGTACAGTGTAGCATAGAATAGAGCACAAACTATTTTTTTTAATTTAACCTTAAAAGAAATGAATGAAGGTGACAATGTCAATAAAAATAAGAGCCACAGATTGTCATTTTGTTTACATGTTTCAAGTTCCTTTCTTATAACCTTGAAAACAATTGTAATTGTGCCTTATTAAATAAGAGAAAACTTATAGATGAGCTTTAAGCATATTTTCTTTTTCTCGCAGGATGATCTAATTGAGGCCATAAGCCTTGCTATTAAATTACATGAGTGGGTTTTTAAAGTTATCTGTTCAGGGCCTGTCATGGTGCCACACACAATTAGATGCTTTGTACTTTTAAGGTAATATCTGTAACTGAAGTTCCTTCCCCTACATGTTTGAGTCCAATTCATTTCAGCTGTTTTAAAGACATATCAAATTATGATTTGAGAAATATCTTACAGATTTCAAATTCATATTTAAAAGGCAGGCTCACAGTCTTTATTGCTGTGGATTTATTCTAAGCATCTGAGCACCTTAATATTCCACCCATGTGTGACTATATAGACATATATTGGAAGATGGGTATTTGTTTTTAGTATAGAACCTTCATGTTACTAATTTTGACTTTCAGAAAGTGACCTTTTCTTATTCTAAGAATCCAGAATCTTTCTACTCTGATTTGAAATGTTTATCTTCTAATCTTGAATCTGTAAGACACCATATTTCCCAGGAGATAACAGTAGTTGTTTTACAGATTATATTTGTTTTCTCCCTTTTTTACAGAAAACAGGCATCCTTGTGGGTCCAAGGAGACATTTTCCGATCCAAGCTAAAAAACAGACCATCCAGTGAAGGAAGTATCAACAAAATTCTTTCTAGCTTGGATGATATGTCTATTGGTGGAAACTTACCTAAAATACAAAATCTGGAAAGATTTGGAGAGGTGAGTTTTTCCCTGGAAGATTTTCATGTCTCCTTAAGAATAACATTCTGCATTTCTTTGTTTCTTAGTTGAACACATATGAAATAGCAGTATCTCTTCTCTGAGATGCTGCAGATACCCAGTTTATAGGTATAGAGTCATTCACCTACAAAGCAAGAATCAGAGCAAAAGAAGCAATTATCCTTAAAAAGAAACAAGCTGTAATTCAAGGAATACAGTTATAAAAGAGGCTTCCCTTGTTTGGAAAATATTTACAAAAAGGAAATAGAAAAGAAAACTTTCTATTTGAAAATGGAAATAGGTATCAAGAAGAAATATTTTAATGTGGCAGTTAAAGAAATAGTATATACCACAAGTGGTACTTTGAAAGCTTCAAATGCATAGTGATTCTAATGTAAGTGCAGGGTCAAAAACATAATTAGGGGCAACTTTTTTTGGTTTTTAGATGAAGGCCCTATTATCAACAAACCATTTTAAACAGTTGACATACATTGTCTAATTTAATCTTTGTAACTACCTGGTGAGTTAGTCAATTTTATCTCTATTTTATAGTAAGGAAATTAAATATCAGAGAAGTTCTAACCTCAGTGTTTCTAATCCATGTCTAGCTGAATCCAAATCTGTGTTTTTTCTATGACACTCTGCCACTTCTGAATAAAAATGGATCTGACTTACGAAGAGGAAAATCAGTTTTGGAGCTAAAGGCAACCTTTAAATCATTTGTTGTATATCCTGTCTTGTGCAGATCAGAAACCAGCGTCCTACAAGATTTGTTATTTGCCTAAGATCACAGAGTTGTTCAGTAGTAGGAGCACCTTGAGTCTGACTTGTAGTTTAGTTCATTACCACAGTATGCCTAAGGGGAAGCTAAACAACTAGTTTATGTTTTTATGTCCCTAAAGGAGCAAAAAAAAAAGTGTTCAAGTAGCAAGTGTAGATTTACATTCTGTTAGGCAGTGACCCATTAGACCCCGACAAAGGCTTTGAAGAAAATACTGTAGTTCAGGCTTAGCCCTCCGGGAACTCAAATGGAAAGAGTGGGTCACAGCTCTAAGTTAGTAGCTGGCATCCCTAACAGGTTGCTTTCACCAAGAAAGATAAGCAGAGAACTTGGAGGTAGGGAGGGTAGGTTTTCTGCAAGGACAAAGGATGGGACTGCTCAGAGAACTAATTTACAGCCCTATGGTATATCTTTTCCAGGACAGCCACTGATGAAGTGGCCAGTTTACTTGTAGGAGTTATCTGACCGGACAAAATGTAAATCTTAGCCAAGGTCATGTTGATGTTCAGAGCCTTTGTTGACTTTTTCTTGTCTCTGTGTTACAGTCTGGCCCATTCAAAGTAAACAGAAAGGATCCGAGCTGACATTTTAGTGTGATAATATAGCTCAGCAAGCACACTTCTCTTGTTCTGGTCAGCATTTCTTTCCCAGGTTGAATTCAAGTAAATAAGGCTTTGAGTTATGACCTCTGAAAAGATACCCATACAATTATCCATTGATCTGACAAACATACTCAGCTTGTAGGAATGTCATGCTTTCTATATCATAATCTGCATTAAATGTACATCTGGCAATTAGAATGTTTCATTCTCATACTTATTTGGATCCCAATTTGTTGAACTTGAGAATAATGAGTATTTATGCCTAGAAGGGTGAAGAATGCAATATTAATTGAAATTTAAAATGTCAGTTTTAAATATAAGCATATATTCAGATGTTGGGCTGTTTACCTTCTCTTCTCTATTCCCTGCACCCCCCAAATTAATGACTGTAGCTCTGGCTATTTAGAAGTGCCATTTTTTTTGAAATTAGAGGACAGAGGACAGAAATGAAAGAATTCCGAAATACCAGAGAGTGATGGTGTGGTTATGATTTTAGACAGAGACACATATATGGGTTTTGTACCACTTATTCTGGGTGTTGCCTTGTGCAAAACCTTTTTCTTGCCCTGCTTATCTGGTGCTGGCTCCAGAACATGACATGAGTTTGGGATGTTAGTTTACTCAGAATTCAATGAATAGAATTAGTGATATCTTTATCGTTCTTGTAAATTCCAAGTGGGAAAATAAGTTGAGAGTATTGCAAGGATTTTAATGTGTTTCAAGTTTCATGCCAACATTCAGGATAGAAGCCCATGGAAACTCTGGATTCATTTAGTTTGTACATAAGGAAAATACAGAAAGGCAGTTTTCTTCTAGAAATTGCCTTTTTTAAAAAAGCAAAGTCAGATAGAAAGCAGAGATACTAAAGTATCTTTTGATTTCACAGCCTACAGAAATTTCCTGTGATTGGTTATTAGGAAGCTCTGTAATTACCTGATTTGGGGAGTTTGAATATGTAGTTTTTCAGTGCTTAGGAGGTACATGAAAGGAAAGCAACCCAAAGTATCAGCCAGAATGATTCAGGCCATAGTAATGTGGCTTTGATGAATTTTCTTCACCCATTTAGAGTTACATGAAATCTTAAATACAGGCTTTACCTTGATTGAACCTGGTCTTCAGGCTGTCCTAGGCAGTGTGAGATATACACAGCCCATCCTGGGGTCGGCCTTAGGCCTCCTGCTGCAGGTTCCTGCTTTGCACTGTACTTTTCCTCCTGGTCCTTACCTCTCCTTCCCCCTCTATGAAGATGGAGGCTGCCATCTGCCCTCATCGTGAGTCCCTTTCTAGCCCATGGGACCTTTGTAAATATTGCTGAAATTAATGAGGAGGGCATACAGTTTCATAGAAAGCAAACAAGAATAATGACATGAAGTTCGTAATAATCCAAGCTGTCCCAGGGCAGCATATGCTCAAGTAGAAAATAGTATCAGCAATAAATGTTCATTTTATCATCCAGAGGCCTGAGGGCCCATTAAGTATTGAGGTTATAAAGAATAGCGTTAAGATGGAACTGAAAGCACTTAATTAAGATGCAGATATGAAAGGAGTTAAATGAGGAGCTTCGAGTGTAACAACCACGTCCTAAATTGCACCTACTATGTGCCAGGCACTGTTCTAAGCACTTCACATGGATGAGCTCTTTTAATCTTTACAACAGCTGAATGAAATAGGTGCTATTACTAGGCCCATTTTATAGATGGCATAACTGAGGAAGAGAATGTTAATAACCAATTACAGTTAATAACCATTTGCCCAAGATCATAGTGTGCACAGTGGAGCTGTCATGTGAACCAGGCGCTCTGGCTCCAGAGCCGGCACTCAGCCGTGCCACCCTGTGGCCTCTCACTGAGCCCTGCTGCTTCTGCAGGAGGTCCTCAGTGCCACTTTAGTACACTGTGCACAGTGACTTTGAACACTTTGTGAGCCAGCCTGTCCTACCAAATTTCTCGTGGAATTGTGCTGCTTCTACCTTTTCTTTCCCTACCCTAGGACAATAGTCCAATATTAGCACACTGATCAGAGGATGATCTTGACGTAGAGTTATTACTTAGATGCAGGTGTTGCTAATGTTCAGCTGAGTTCAGGTAAACTGACAATCAGGTAAATAAGAATGTAGTGTTTTAATTACATCACTGAGAAATTTATAAAACCCTCTGCTCTCTGAACATCAAAGGTTCATGAGTAGGGTGTTCCTAGAAAAAAAATCTCTGCAGTAAAAATGAAATCTGTAATGCCTCATCTAAATATCTTCAAAGCACCTTCTTTCCGCTCTTAGGACCACTAAGGCATTCCAGCTCCAATCTGAATGCCATTAGGATCCACCAGTGGCTACTGGATAGGCAGTGCCGGTGTGCAGGCTCAGGGTTTGGGGAGCTCGCTAGGGCGTGCTGAGCCTGTGTGCGGCCGGGAGGTGGTGATGGGGGATTGGTCTGGGCCTCCGAGGTCTGAACCAGTGGCAGCAAGCAGGGCAGGAAGACACATTTGGGGCTTTGATGAATCCAACCTTTTTATTGTTCTGAAGCATCTAATTAAGAAGTAACAACTTTGTCTTTTCTTAACTTTTGCATCTCATAGGTTCAACATCTGAGAGCTGAAAAGAGCTTTACAGATGACCCAGCCACCTCTCCTAGCCAAATCATTTAAATCTAAAAATGCCATTTTCATCCAAACTTCTATTTTCTTCTATTTTTACTCGTTCCTATTTCAAACTTTCCTTTTTGTCATTTTTCTATTATAACTCTTCCATCTTTACTTCCTAGTGTGCTATATTTTATCCAATAGATCTTTTCTCAATGGCACATACCACAGCCTCCCCAATGGCTTACTGTCACCATTTTATGAATGTGTTGGTCGGTCAGTCATCATCCAGCTGAAATCTATGGACACATTTTATTTTGGTTTTTCATCTTGCCTATATAGGAGAGAACAACTGATGGAATAAAGTACATCTTCCTACTTGGTGCTGTTATTTGTTCTTTAGCTAGACTATCATCTGAAAATAAGTATGCCTTTGAAAATGGTCCTTCTTTATGTATTGTAGTTTGCTCTCATTTTCCTGCCTTTATATGGAGCAGGCTGGCACCCAAATGAAAGAGCACTGATGCTCAGACCCTCCAGAGGGCAGGGGGCTGGGAGCAGGCTCCTTTCCTCAGGGGGCAAGCTGGCAGCCATGGGGCTTTGTCTCTTTCCAGCAAGTTTCTAGGGAATGTGTGGGGAGAAGGGCTGGAGCCCAAGAGCACAAGGGAGGCCCTCACGTAGGTTCTGTGCATTCTTCATTTGTGACTGTGTTTGTTATCATGAAGAATTTGCAGGAGCTTGGGCAATATTCGTAACTTCATGAGCATCCCCTTTTTTCCATTTTCAAGGATAACAGTGATAACAGTATGTTCACCCCCCACCCCCAACCCCAGCTTGTGAGAATTAAATATGATCGGCACGTGACGACCTAGTGTGGTACTTATATATTCCATCTGTAAGACTTATTTCAGTAGGAAACACATTTTCTCAATCTATTAAGCTTTAACTCCTCAGGAAAGGCCTTGAGTGCTTTTATAGTGTTAAATTATGTTAATAAGTGAGTGTATAGATACCTTAAGTTGTTTTATCTTTTGTTTTTGTAAGTAAGTTATGGAATTTGCAGGGATGGATCCTGGTAGTATCTGGAAACATATTTGTACTGTATCTCTTGAGCCAGTCTGTGTCTAAGCTATATTCCAAAGCATGATTTTGTCTGCATGAGTCTTCGGTTGTAGTCCATTGTACCAAACAGCTCCTTTTAAATGCTACCACGTGCATACCCATGTTTCTTTGATTTAGAATTTGACCAGTATATTTAATGGGTGAAAAGTCAAGCATTCTTTAGTCTATATAAAATATATCTATATACATAGTCTATAATCTATTAAGAAATCAATATAAAGCGAAGTTATTCATAATGACCTTTTTATGGAACATGTATTTTTTCCAGAATAATTTAGAAGAGGATGAAGATGTGGAAATGAAAAGTAATATAACCCAGGGAGACAAACTACGTGCCTTAAAAAGTCAGAGACAGCCACATTCCTCACCATCCTGTGCCTATAGGTAGATCCATTTTAAATGTTTAAATTTATATGTACCTCCATTCGCGGGTAGAATATTTAATACTCTCTTATGAGTATCATTCTGCAAGTACCACAGCTACCTCGTTTTTGGCTTGTTACTATTTTGTGTTGTTTAGTTATCACTGTGGGAGTAGCTGAGTTTTAGCAGCTTATTGGAAACAACTGCTGCAGTCTCAGTCTCTGGGACTTCACCTTAAACTGCCACATGGTTAGTGGTTTCTAGGACTGTGTCCCAGTTTCAGTTTGGAGTTCCACTCATTTCCTGTGACTGGGTTTCCTGTCTTGTAGCGAATCCTCACAGGTGTGCTGAGACTTTTGGATTGAGTCTAGGGTCTGCACAAAACTGCTATATGCCATACTTTGGTGTATCCTAACACCTTAGCCTTACCTTCTGTTTTTGAGAATTGAATAAGCAATTATTATCCACACTTGTACAGTTATAAAGCATCTTGATTTTGAAGTCTGAAATTGCTCATCAGAATCAATGGATGGGACTTGACTCGTGATCATAACATTTGAAACCTGCTGATAGTCCAGATTAGGTTAAAAAGAAAAAACAAAAAAGAACACCATCAGTGTAGGTGCAAAAATCCATAAATATCATCAAGATTCTTTATTGTATTCTTTATAGGGTGCCAAGTCTGCAAATGAATATAATGGGAAATGGCTACTTCTCTTTGCCTTTTAAGTGAGAGACATGCATAGCAGGGGGGATATTTTGCCAGTATGATAAATGTCAGAAGATTAAATTGTGTTATCAGGGAGGATTGTAACTTATGTCACATCGGGTCTGGGCACATGCTATGCCCTGGTACTATGCTGGGTACTGGTTTCCTGACTTGAGAAATAAAGGTTCATATAGCTTGAAGTCGAGGTGATCATCTTCTGTAATGAGAAGATGGGATAGCAAGCCTGGTGCTTAGTCATAACAACCAACGACCACTAGAAAATTGAAGAGATGGACCATTTACTAAACAGGTGCCATGGGCCATGTTGGGTGCTTAGTTTGGGTATGAGGACTAACTGAGTTAACGTGTCAGTATGCATCAGAACCCACATTTGGGTTGGTTCTTGAGGTGAGCGAGGTTAAATCAGCCCCCAGGGGAATGGAGTTAGGATGGAGCTGTTCGTGGTCTGTGCTCTTCACTGGGCATGTTCCTTAAGTCCATGGAAGGTTCTTCAAGATTACTAGTCTCTTTTAGTTACCATTTTTTTCCTTGAAACTCTAAGATACGGCTCTAAGATATCAGTTCAGATTAACTTCAAGCAGATTTATATTTGATTCTTAAGAAATTGTAAGAGGAAGGAATAAGTTGGAGGATAACTTGGCAAATGAATAGGCAACAGAAGTGAGTGAATCTCCACAGCACGGGTTTTAGGAAGCTATGGCTTTTCTGTTTCTTTTTCTTGTTCTTCTCAGAAATGCTCTCATTTTTTGGAATTTAGTTTTCCTTAATGGGATCATGGTACCATTATGACATTTTTTTTACCCTAAGTGGATGCAAGACCTTTTTCTGATTAAAAAGCAATTTGCTATAAATGAGATTCAAGCTGAAACAAAATGACTGAGGTGGTTTTTTTTGCTGGTTCTAGGATTTCTTTCATAAGATATCCATTTGCAAAGTTTTTCCCTTTTATTATTTGTCAACTTAGTATGTTTACTGGTCTGACTTCATAAGATGTGTCTTTTGGTCTTCACTTGCATGGGTGAGCCTGGTGATATGTGAGCATTTGTCTTTGATTTCCGTAGGTTGGATGATGTGAAAGGGCACCCAAGAGCAGTGTCCCAACTTTTCAGGTACTGTTAATGAGGCTGGATTTCTAATAGCTTGTAAATATGTGCTACCTTTTAGATACATTTCCCAGCCCTTCACCCCATGAAAATAAAATGCTTACAGCTTTTCACTTTTTGAATGCCTTCCTTTCTGTTCCGGATTGTTGCAGTACACTTTGCTTTTAATGTTCACCGTGGAAAGGATTTTTATTTCCCTGAGGCACCCATAGGGCTGTGTGGCTGCTGCAGTGGTGTCAGTGAGCTCTGTGCCCCCAGCATGGTGTGGGATCTCTGAGAGATCACAGTTGCTCTGCAATGTGCCTTTCAATCTAGTGAGTTTTTAACATTTCTGTTAGTCCTCCTCCTGCCTGTATTTGCTGACCTCCTTTATTTTATAGTTTTATTCCCTGCCCTGTCTTCCATTTGAGGAAGAAATATTTGTGCTTTGCTCTGGAAAAATGTCCCCAAAACATTCCCCAGGTGGTTGCAGGGCACCAGGGGAACCAGGACCCAGCATAGGGCCTGGTGAGGCCCAGGAGAAATGTTCGACCAAAACTGTTGATGAGATGGGAAAAGCAGCTTCTCTCTTCACCTCTGATTTTTACTCAGCCCTAGGTTTTAGGGCTGCTGAGTGCAGGCAGTTCTGAGAGGGCTCAGACTTCTCCAGAAGCTTGAGCTGCTTCATTGTATAACCTTTCCCATTTTTGTTTTTGAAGCAAACCCTGTACTTAAACTAGTGTTTGGAGGGAGGATGATGGAGAGTCTACAAGTAAATAAGCTTTTTTATAGCAGTTAGGAAAACAAGATCCAGATACATTACATAATTTGTCCAGAATAAAATAATTTGGTATTAAAACCATGACAGGGCCCTGGTGGTTCCAGATTTGAGTCCATTTTACCTCTTTGTCCACTGAGCAAACATTTATTGAACACCTGCTCTTGGGTCTGGCACTGTGCTAGCCACTGGGAATTGAAATGAGAGATAGTTCTTTGTCACCATGGAACTTATATCAAGGGAAGTAGACAGATATCAGGTAATGAAATATGGTATAACATCTGTGATACACTGTGAGAAGGTATGATCAAACAGGATGCTTACCCTGCCTGGGAATTCAGTGAAGGCTTGCTGCTGGCAGCTGACTGGATCATTAAAGGATAAGCAATAGCAGTGAGTCAGGTGGAGGTGGAAGAGAAGAAATGGATGGGGGACGGGAGTCAGGACTGGAGAAGATGTCCTGGCAGGAAAAATAGCACGTGTAAACTAGACAAAGGTGTGAATGTAGTCCAGTCCATTCAGGGAACTCAAGGCATTTTGTGCATCTGGACTAGAGGTGGCCATTGGGGCAGTGTGGATAGAAGAATCTGCTCCAAGAGGCTAAGCACAGATTTTGGAGGACTTTATAAGCCAGGCCCAAGAGTTTAGCCTTTCCAGGCACAGAGCAGAGAGTTTAAACAGCAAAGCGGCATGGTTAAATATTTTAGGTTTCACTGGAGGCTGTTAAAGATGCTACCAGTAGTCAAGAATAAGAGATAATGATGGCCTCCTATGGGGCAGTTGCAGGGAGGAGAGGAAGGAGTAAGTCTAAAAGAGAAAGTAGGCTGTCAGGACGTGTGAGGAGGGGATGCAGTACCCAGGAAGTTAAGTGCGGGAGGAGGGCGGGGTTAGGTGATTGAGGGCAGGACTTTGGATCTTGGGTTTGGATTCCAGCTCTGCTCCTTGCTCACCGAGTGACTGGAGGAGAAGCTTTCTTTCATTAATTTCCACACTCACAAAGCTGGAGCTGCTTTTTAGCTCCCTCAGAGGGTTCTTGGTGTTAGCTGCTCCTGTCACCCTTGTTAGGACTTGCCCTGATCTCGTCAATGTTTATTAGTTTACCTTGTCCCCATGGATGGCTGAATGTTAAGATAACACAGCTTTTGTGTGACACTTCACCCATTTTTCTCCACAAAGATTGAGTTCTTCCCTACAAATATCTGCATCTACTCTGAAGACCTCAAAAACAGCGTTGTCCCCTTCAGCAACGGCCAAGAGGGTAAACAGAGGCTCTTTGTCTTCTGGTGCCCATGTAAGAAGGTAATTCTTCCTTTTCTCTTCTGAGATACTGGCAGGAGGTATAGGAAGTCTATAGTAAACAATGGGTTTGGCCGCAGATGGTCAGGAGAAATCACAAAAGGCAGTGTGACCATCTGGGGCTCCGTTCCTGGCTCGCGTTGCAGGGAGTGAGGCTGCAGTGGGCGTGCTGCGTGAAGTCCCTTTCTGTAGAGAACCTCCAGCTTGCCTAGGGTGACCCAGGAAGCAGAGATCAGGTGTAGGTGCTACTGACATGTGGTGTTGCCATTTCTCCCCTGGTGTGTATGGGAGGAATTGAAATGGGTAGACACATTTGATGTAGTCATGTGATTGAATATGTGTAAGTAAAATGTGTATTTAAGACTGCTTTTTACTCTCTCCGTATATAGCCTTGTTCATTTACTTCCTGCCTCAGGAAAAATAGAATCCCCAGATGTTCTATTTCAAAGTCTCTGGTCAAAGTGATTTAGTCAGCTTCTTGAGTTGTAATTAACTGCTTTTGACAGAGGAAGTTACCATGCGTAACTAAAGGCCACATATTACAGTATCACCAAGAGTGATAAAGAAGCCATTCTGGTGCCATTTGCATTGATCAGAACTGTCCCCATCAGATTCCTTGAATGTCAGTTACGTGTTTTAGAAACATGAACTCTGTGTGAGTATACATCATTGTCCATGTTTATCCCACCTCACCTGTGTTTTCCATTCAGCTTTTCCATAAACTCCCGGCTAGCCAGTTCTCTAGGGAACTTGAATGCTGCAACAGACGATCCAGAGAACAAAAAGGCCTCCTCGTCCTCTAAGGCAGGTTTTGGAGTCACCCCGCTCACCAGCCTCTTGAATGATGGCTCCCAGCCGCCTGCCAGAAACCAACCCGAGCTCAACAACAACCTGTACAGCAGAAGCGCCAGCAGCCCTGGGAGTCCCCTGGGCAGCCAGCCCAGCCCCCACAGCACCAAGACGGAGGATCCCCCCGCCATCCTCCGGCCTTCCTACTCCAGCCTCTCGTCTTCCTCAGCAAGATTTCTGAGCCGTTCGATTCCTGTAAGTTCACAGACTCCACCTGTTGGTCCTCAGAACCCTGAACGCAACTTCTGTGTCTTGCCTTCCCAGCCAAGGCTGCCACCAAGGAAATTTAATAGCACCAAGGAAGCCCTCTGATGGATGCCTTCCCTCTGTGCTGTGAAGCTGTCTGTGCATGCACATGCTGCTGGCTGCTCAAGTAAATGCCAAGCTTCAACCCAGTTTTCTTCCTTCCTTCTTTGTCTTCTCCTCCCTGTATTCCTCTTTAAATAATTGCTCTTAGAAAGGAAGCAGCTTTCATTCCCTTCATCATGGACATTATTGACTGAACTTACTTTTCAGTTAAGTTTCTAAGCACTCTTAATATCTGGTGCAAAGCCGGGAGCTGATTTATACAATAGACAATATTTACTTTGGTTGGTGGTGGTATTAGGAATCCTGGCTTTTTCCACATCATATATTAATGAATCAATCTTGGAGTATTTAAACGTGGAAGGTGCTGAATGAACAGCATTTTCTCAGATCTAACTAGTAGGCCCTTGACTGTGTCACCTCCTGCACGGAGCTGACCCAGAATTAATTAAATGGCAAATGGAAGTTGCCTCTAAGGAAGGCTTATAGGTAGATAGATACCTGGGATGTAGGGAAGGGGAAGCAGCCTATCTGGAAGAACTTTAAAATGAGCCACCGCTCTTCTAGAGACAGGGTGGGAGATTTCCAAACACATTTTTATGTTTGAGTGTTGTATTTAGGTCATCAAGCTCCCTTTTAAACCAGTAATCCCTGTTAGGGTAAAATCTGGTTCACCCCTGCTATGAATCGCTTTAGTTACTTATTTTGATTGCCTCCAAGGACATTGAGCTCTATGAGGATGTGAGTATTGATTTGTGAGAACAAGAACTAAACAGGAAGGAGAAATACATTCCACAGATCAAGGACGTGTAAATCTATGTTGAGCACATCATGGATCCCATTCAGGGCCTAAGCCAGCTCCGGTGTCCCGGGAAGGGTATGATCTGGTTGCCTTCCATGCACACCATTCTTCAGTCATTTCCTCAGCCATTATTCAGGGAGAGCTGATTTCTGCAGGGGAGAAACGGGGGAGGAGAGGTGTGGGTCACAGTGTGCCTCTCATGCCCACTCAGCAAAGCAGCAGCCCCACCGGAATGGTAAGTGGGGCACACTTTGCTTCAATGGCAGTTGAGAACGTGGGGATGCAGCATGCACGTGTGTGTGTGTGTGTGGTGTGTGTGTGTGTGGTGTGTGTGTGTGTGTGTGTGTGTATGTGTGTGTGTGTGTGTGTTGGATTTATTACCACTCCTGTCCCAACCTCAGGCCTCTTTTCAAAGTTTTTTTTCCCCTCCTCTATCCAGTCCTTTCTGGTACATATAATTTGCCCCATCTGATTTTATTCCCAGTGAAGTTTTTCAGCATTATTTTAGATTCCTGATAGATTAGGGCAGCTGCCAGCCCATTCCCACTCTTTAATTTGACTCTAATCCCACTATGTTATGGGGTATATGTGTATCAGTACAATTTAAATCCTACCTAACTAGGAGTTAGGTGGAAAATAATAGTGCATTTACATTTTCATAACTAGATTTACAAGTAACATATTTCACAGCAGGAATTGAATTTAGTCAATATTTTCATACACTGATTGTGGGTCAGCTTTTTCAGACCAGAGTACAGATCTTTCCATTTTCAGAAAAAGTATATGTGTGTATAGATAGATAGATAGATAGATAGATAATGATATAAATATCTTGCAGATTTCATGGCTGAGGGTTTAGTGCAATCCACATTTACAGCAGAATACCAAAAGTATTGGTAGCTTGACAAGAATAACATTCTACTTTTTCTGGATTTCAGTTTCCCTCCTTGCTAGTGGAAGCACGGGATAGCCTTTAGACGATGGTTGATTGCCTCCCCTCCACATGTTTATATAACTTAATCTGGTTTCGTGCCATATTTTGTTATTTTTCCTCACCTCTCTTCCTCCTCCTCATCCCTCTCCTGGCTTGAAATAGGGTGATTTTCCAATAATTAGATGTAAAGTAATAGTCCGTGTGGGCAGCTGTTGCTCTTCCCCTCTTTTCCCTCTTCAATTTGTCATCTTATTGTAAAGAAAAGCATTTATAAATAGAATTGCAAACATGGCAACATTTTCCTCCCTCTCACCCTCCCAGGAAGGAAGAAGCAGATCTCTTAGAAGTGACTTTCCTCCTTTATCTTTGCCTAGAAAACCTCTGCCAGAAGGAAGGCTCCACGTCCTACCCCTGTTGATTTACTGGCAGAAAGTCTAAATTAGGATGGAAATTCCCATTTTTTATGGAATAAAGTAGGAAGTTGTGAGTTCTTGTCCTTTATTGGCCCAGGGCAGCTTTACTAATTGTTGTTGGTTTCTTGTTTAGATAAGATGGTCCCTCTTTATGGTGCTTCTGTCTCACATATGACCTGTGAAGAACTAGGACTAAATCATGCAGCAAAAATGTTTTTAAATCCTTAGGTAGGAATTGAAGTCTATATGGCAATATTCTCCCAGCACCTTTAAGGAAGACCCAGAAATTGCTAGGGATGGGGTGACGGGTGTTTAGAGGAGCCTAATATTTTAAAAGCTGCAATTAGCATCTCTTTTGAAAGCTGCAATTGCTCTCTCACTTTATGCAGCAGTTCAGCCCCCAGAAAATGTAAAAATGATTTCCTTGTTCTGTCATTAAATGCTTTAACATGGAAAACAAGAACAAATGTTAAAGAATCCTTATGGTTGTGACAGAATGCTAAGAGACAGTCAGATTTTATTTTTATTTATTTGGCCTCTTCTGTCAGTTCCAAGGTTTCTGTTGCCCAGTGCAATTCATTTTTCTTGACCCACTTACTGAAGAAAAATCAGTTTCCCCCTTCCTGACATTCAGAGTTTTCACATGATTAAGAAATGAAGGACGTGTGACTATGGAGTGGGTGGGGTGGAAGTATTTGATTAAGTTGAAATTACTTGAGGTATCTGTCTTGAATATTTGCTCTGTTTTATTTTTAAAAGACTTACCACTGAATTGCTAGTCATCCCCATTGTCCTCACCTGACCCTGCAGGTCTGGGGTGGGTTTTCATGCTTTCCTCTTAGGCTCTTCTCAGTCCTGCATTTCAATCGTCTGTTTATTTGTCTGTATCCTCCATGGGACTGTAAGCTCTGTGAGGACACAGATGGTGTCTCTTTTTTTTTTATAGTGAAACATTTTTTTTTATTATGCTATCATTAATATACAATCACATGAGCAACATTGTGGTTACTAGATTCCCCTCATTATCAAATCCCCACCACATACCCCATTACAGTCACTGTCCATCAGCGTAGTAAGATGCTATAGAGTCACTACATGTCTTCTCTGTGCTATACTGCCTTCCCTGTGGCACCCCTACATTATGTGTGCTTATCATAATGCCCCTTAATCCCCTTGTCCCTCCCTTCCCACCCACCCTCCCCAGTCCCTTTCCCTTTAGTAACTGTTAGTCCATTCTTGGGTTCTGTGAGTCTGCTGCTGTTTTGTTCCTTCAGTTTTTGCTTTGTTCTTATACTCCACAGATGAGTGACATCATTTGATACTTATCTTTCTCCATCCTGCTCATTTCACTGAGCATAATACTCTCTAGCTCCATCCATGTTGTTGCCAATGGTAGGATTTGTTTTCTTCTTATGGCTGAATAATATTCCATTGTGTATATGTACCACATCTTTTTTATCCATTCATCTACTGATGGACACTTAGGTTGCTTCCATTTCTTGACTATTGTAAATAGTGCACCATAGGGGTGAATATGTCTTTTTCAAATTGGGCTGCTGCATTCTTAGGGTAAATTCCTAGGAATGGAATTCCTGGATCAAATGCTATTCCTATTTTTAGTTTTTCCATACTGCTTTCCACAATAGTTAAACTAATTTACATTCCCACCAACAGTATAGGAGGTTCCCCTTTCTCCGCATCCTCACCAGCATTTGTTGTTCCTTGTCTTTTGGATGTTGGCCATCCTAACTGGTGTAAGGTGATATCTCATTGTGGCTTTAATTTGCATTTCTCTGATGATTAGTGATGTGGAGCATCTTTTTATGTACATGTTGGCCACCTGAAATTGCTTCTTTGGAGAAATGTCTGTTCAAATCCTCTGCCCATTTTTTAATTGGATTATTTGCTTTTTGTTTGTTGAGGTGTGTGAGTTCTTTATGTATTTTGGATGTCAACCCCTTATCAGATATGTCATTTATGAATATATTCTCCATACTGTGGGATGCCTTTTTGTGGCCAGGTGTTCTGTTCCTGGAGGTACACAAGCTGTGTACCTTTGCTGTGCAGAAGCTTTTTAGTTTGATATAGTCCCACTTGTTCATTTTTGCTTTTGTTTCCCTTACCTGAGTAGATGTGTTCATGAAAAAATTGCTCATGTTTATATTCAAGAGAGTTTTGCCTATGTTTTTTTCTAAGAGTTTTAAGGTTTGTCAGCTGTTTTTGACTCTATTTCAAAGGACTCTTTCAAACACAGAACTTGCTTTGATCTCAAGTACATTGGAATTATCAACTGCCTTGATTGTTTAACTTAATTCAATGTCTTCTTTCTTACATAATATCGATAATCGTGCTAAATCAGAAAAGAGTCTTAATTTTTATATTTATTTATTTATTTGGCCAGGATTAAAAGAGAGTAAATGCTTTTTATATGTGTGTAAAGTGTTGTCTGATTTTAGAAAATTTATCTCATATTTATATGAGGGTCTGCTCTGAGTGCAGTATTGTTTTAGTAGAGGAAGGTTAACACACAGTTGTGTAAGTCATTGTCTGCCACTAGACTGAAGGCTCCTTGAGGGCATCTTCTGGCTTAAATGATCTTCTGCCCTCATTTTTTTGGGTCCCTTCTATTTATCTTTGCTTTGCTGGAAAAAATCTGCTTTGAAAATACCAGCTTCCTAATGTCATCCTTTGATTAAAAAGCTTCTGTGGTTAAAGAAAAAACCAATTATTATAAGAATTT